ACACCCAGCTTCTGAAGGTGTCTCTCACTGCTGCCCGACAGGAAATAGCAGGAAGGAAGTATATAAGCGTCGCACACACCTGAACACACAAAAAGCCTCCCCAGGGGCCTGCACAGCCGGGGACGACGCAAGCTTGCGTCCCCCGAAACGTTTCCTTAACACTCTGCTTTTCTGTTTCCTTATTATGGAAGGAAGACGTGCCGCACACGAGCCTGAACCTCAGAAACCGTGAAAGGCGGCACACCGTTACGCACAAGGGAGTCTGGTTCCCTTCGGACCCGACTCCTGGAGTTTCCCACGCAGTCCACTGCCCTGTCACTAACAGGAATGGCTGTGACACGGTGCTAAGTACAGCATTAATAAAAGGCCAAAGCGCTGGGATTACTGCCTCTCTGGAGGACAATCCTGCTCTGTAACAGCAGTTCAGCGGTGCATGTGCGCTCGGGTTACACACACTCCAAACCTCCCTGCAGCTGACACACGGTGTTAAGGCTCAGAAATGTCTGGCATTCTCCGGAGGTATTTTAATTTATCGCCATCAATGCCGCTATAAGGGCCAGCTTCACTTCACTAATATCATTGTCTGACGGGTGGCTGGCTTGTTAGGGGTAAGCAAACCGCATCTGTGTTCAAGCCTCGCTCTTTCAGGCCCAATCTACCCAAATCCATCAGAGCGCTGCGGACTTCGCGGGTTTTTTCTTCCGCACGGAGACGCAGTGCCAAACTCCAGCGCTGCCACCGGGCGCAGCAGCCCGCACTGGGAAGAGCTGTTGGAGAGACGCAGGATGAAAGGAAACCAGCCTCGTGTTGCAAAGCAGGTTGAAAAATTTCAGGTTTTACAAGCCACCCATTCTACCAGGAAAAAAGAAACCGTAGTACTAGAAAAAGCAAATTTATTTTAATATTATTAACACCGAACGTCGGCGCATGCAAATTTACTCAAAATAAGGTTACAAACATAAAATATCCGGCACCACATTCACAAGCCCGGAGCTGATTAAACCAGAAAGAGCTCAAACGGCAATTTCCAGCCCTTTCTACCTGCGCGCCTGTCTCCGCCCCCTGCCCCGGCTCCTGCCCGGGCAGCGCCCCCCCGGGCCGCTGGAGAGAACTCGGCGGGCCTCGGCATCCCCTGAACTGAAAACCGGGCCCTTGTACCCCCTTCTCCCAGGCGGCAGCTGTGGCCAGCTGTGCGCCGACAACGCGGACCCTGAGGTGCCACTGCGGAATTCTCAGTATCTGCTCAGAAAGCGCCCTCATGCACCTACAGATCCACGCAATCGGGAGATAAACAAAGCAAAGAGCACACAAACAAATCACGGAGTCGCGGTATCCGATGAAAGACAGGTCTCGGCGCAGGAACAGAACTGACAGGGTGCAGGCGCCCTTATCCAGAGTCTAGAAAGTCAGCCACGGCGAAGTGCGCGGCACCGCAGCGGGCACACGGACAGGCAGGGCGACAGGGCCGCTGGCAGCAGGGCTGAGCCCCGTGAGCAGGGAATTAGTTTCGAGGGTCAGGCTGGTTTGCCCAAGAGCCGGCTTCTCACGGCCGGCGTGTTTTGGCCCGAGGGTCACCTGCGGTAGCGAACAGATTTCAAGAACCGCTGCTAGAGATGTTTTTTGTTTCTCTTCTCAAAAAGCCCTACCTAGAAGAACTAAGCAGGGTTTTGAAACGGCGTTAGCTCTGTGGCGGGGGTGTGAATTGGGCTGGCCAGCTTCGTCTAGAAGACGGCAAGACGTACTGGTGACAGAAACCCCCGAAGGAGGCAGGAATGGGGACTCGGCGCGGGAGAGAAAAACAGCCGCTGCCCGGCGGAAAAGCAACTTCAAACGCAAAGCCACACATCACACGACAGCAAAAGCAAGCGAACGAAATAACTGCCGAGGGGCGAAAGTCGGCTCCGGACAAGCGCCTTCCTGCAGCCGGAAACTACAGCCCTCTTCCCACCAATGATGTTCTGCGCGGACGGGACGCTGTGGTCGACGACTGCGCCGAAAATGAAAAAATTGCAATCTGTTCACACTATCTAATAATACAAACACACAGCCCCGAGTCCGGGGGAGGTAGCCACACCAGACAGGCGCAAACCACGGAACAATACAGCACGCCAAGGCGGCGTCTGCGCTCCTCCTCCGGTCTCTAGCCGTCTGTACCCCGGCAGTCATCTCACGGAGAGCAAGCTTTTGAGCTGAGCTTCGTCGTCAGGGAACACCAGGCAGGGGTCAATGGCTCTCCGTCCGCTCACACACCCGAGCAAACTAAACTCCCCCCTACCACCCCCCGGCCCGGCCCCGCGCTCGGAGAGCGGCTCCACATGTCCGAGGCACCGGGAATGTCCAGGTACCGCACGCTTAACGCAGCGGCTCTCCTGGTGCCCCGCAACATGTGCGCCGAGTCCTTCCCCCCCCGCAACAATATACTCCGGAAAATGCGTGACCGTGTGTGCGTGTGTGAGGGTGTTTTTCTGCAGTTGCCTCGTCTCTAGTGAAACCCGAGGCTTCAGACTTTGTCTCCTCTCAGTCCGCGGGGGGCAGGTGGAAACCGACGCTTTCGCAGCGGTGAAGCTGTCACGGCTCCGCCAGTCCACCAAAACAAACAAACAAACAAACAAACAACAGGGCATCGGCCCCTACCAGCAGCAGCACAATCTGAGCGCTCACACCGTTTTTAGCGTTGAGCTGTGCTCGCCTCTTGTGATGCCAAACATGTGGAATGCGGTCGCTGTCGTGCCAGACGGCCTCTGACAGAGAGGTCTCAGCCGTGTTTGTGACTTGTGCCCTTAATTAAGAGCTCCTCTGCAGGCTAAATCAGTTACGGTTCTCGAATCTGGTATATGCGATTTACCAGCGTGTTGAACACCAGTGTAATCCGTGTGGGCTCCTGTACCGAACACATTTCATACACCTGACGACGGATAGATGGACCAGCGAAAACCTTGTAAAATGCTCCCAAACTACTAACTCTGCGGGTATTCAAAAGTTGCATGCGTTCATTAAAATAATCTGGGTTAAAAAGCCCCTTCTGGAGACAAAAAAAAGGTGTGTGGATGTGATCTGTACACTTCTACTCAAAACGAAGCGCTTCTCGCATTCTTTAAATATCCGCAGAAATTCGTCCAGCCGCCTCATTTTCAAAGACTCCGGGGTTCCTGCCTTTAAAATTACAGCTTTAAGCTGTGGTTTCCAATAATAACTCGTACCATCGCCGGGCCCCGGCAAGGTTTCGTGAAATTGCACAGCATCCATTTTAGATTCAGACAGAAAATCGCCAAACATCTGCACAGCGGTTGGAGCGCAGCCCTTCCAAAAATAAGTTACCATCGCGATGGCAAGCTAATGGGTTTTAGTTTCGCCGTGGAAGCCCGTCACACCACGGGTTACCAACCGTGCTAACGCGTGGAGGAGAATGCTTCGCCGAATCGAGGGCGATTTGCTACATTTTTCTCTTTGCTTTTGTACAATTATTCTTAAAAAAAAATCAAGACAGGAGCGTGCGAAGCCATGCTTCATTCGGGCAATGACACATTACACTAACTGGTCTCACTACACTGCCGAATTTGCTTTCAGTTCAGACGCCCCCCCCCCAAAAAAAGGAACCGAGACCAAAAAGTTTTCTGCCAAGATCACAAGTATTTTTTGTTGTTGTTGTTTTAGGAGATCGAGCCCGCTACAGCCGCGAAGGGGTCCGAGAGCCCAGCGCCGTGCCCCGACGCCTGTCCCCGCACAGAGCGCGGCGCATTCCTGTACTCACCGCCCGACAGGCTCAGCCAGCCCAGAATCAGCACGATCTCCCCCAAGATGAGCCCGGGTTTCCCCATCGCCTCTGTAACATCCACATAGAGATACCAGCACCGGGGAGAAACACTCCTGGCGAACGGCGTTCCTGGGACGCGCCAAGTCGGGAGGCTGGCGTGATCGAATGGTTTTTAAAAAAAATCAGGTTCTCTTATTTCTTTTTTTCCGGCCGCTGTAAAAAGAAACTTTACTGAAGTGTTTCAAAACTCCTCTCTCTCTCTCTCCCTCCCCTCTCTGCCTCTCTCAGACGCACAGATCGTGTCCTTCCGCCGGAATCGCGATGATGTACTTGAAGGACACCCGTCTTCACACGCCCAGCCTCTAAATATATATTTTAAATCATCTATGTGCTCTGTTGGCTGTTGAAAAACGGGAGAGTGACAAGTCCGAAGTGATTTAATGAGCTTCTTTTAAACCAATTTCACCCTCGCCCTAACCCTTTGCTACCTCTCTCTCTCTCTCTCCGGCGGAGGAATTTCCATTCTCTAACTTTTCAGCGCTGTATGACTCAGATTAACCCGTTCACTGATTTCGCTTATTTTCGGGTCGTTTTTGCGTCGTTTTTCGCAGTTGTGTTTGCGCCGAGCAGGGGAGAAGCGGCGAAAATTGAAAAGTTTCGCCGTCGTGGGTGCAAGCGGCGTGTTCGGCGCCTGGAGCCGGGGCTGTCTGCGGAGCGCGCGGCGGCCGGGGCACCGGCGAACGCGGTTCTGCAGAATTTCTGTCTTTTGGGATGAGACCGAAGAGTGTCTTGTTATAATCAGCGTGTTACACACATATATATAGATCACTCTCCTCCACGTGTTCGTGACAGCGTTAATAATAAGCAGATTGATGCGATGGCACCGGTTGAAGTGTGCCGTCTCTGTAGGGAGAACATAGCCAGGGAGCATGCAGTTGACAGTTCGCAGGAGATCAGATGGGCGACGGTGTACGAATGGCAGACTTATATGAATAGCGCTGCAGAAAATAAGAAAAAAAGGAAAAATGTCCTTTACACGTCACAGCCCGAATAACTGTTTCTAAACATAAAATGCCATTTAAAAAAATCACACGCACACCAGTTCAATCCATAATGAATAGTTTTGCAAATTGATCATATTTCAAAAACATTTAGTCTTCACCTTTCTAAACATTTTCCGCCCCCCCCCCCCTTTTTTTTGGGGGGTTCTGTCTCTGTTCCGCATTGTTTCTCAGACATAATTTTAGGTTCGGTTAATATTTAACCATCCTGTCAGTGTTAACTATGATATACTGTTAATGTGTTCCATATTTCACGAAAAAAACGTTATCATGTCATATAAATTATATTCGTGGTAATTCTGTCTTGATTTATTTTACATTAAATTAAAGTGCAAATGTTTCTTTTGGGCCGTGAAGTAATAAAAAGGAGTTCAACTTCATGCTTCTATACTCGATGTTGTCAGTCTTTCTTACTCCCTCGACTGGTCCCCGAAGATATATTTATATTTAGGAGAAAACAAGGGAAAATTCTCGAGTATATATAATTATTATGATGAAATGGATACCGGTAATGTCTTTTTCCAGAAATAACCACGGCATTTTCGGCTCGCACGTGCGGGGTCGTGCCAGCGCCCCCTGTGCCCCAGGGCCAGCACTGTCACCGCTGGAAGAAAAGACTGCCGATTAACTACTGTACCCGGCAAAAACCGATTTCAAACAAACAAGGAAAGCTACGTTTTTTGTCGAGGAAATATGAAATAAATTCTCTTGAAACGTAGTCAAGACATCTATCAGGATCTGTCTGGGATATCAGGATGCACGAACGCTTTCAATTCAACAGTGAAGAAATGCCCAGTTCATTCCCGGCTGCTGTCCAAGCGGAGAAGGCGCGTGTGTCTTCAAGCGCTGGCAACTCTGGAACGCTAGCCCGACGGTGCCATTCCAGGCGTTTGCGAAAACGAGAAGAAATGATGTGAAAAATGTCTCATTACACACGTCAACACGTAATGGATTTGAAAATTAAACTAGTAGTTCATTCCCTGTAAGCTAGCACAGTCGGCATGATCTATTCCTTGTAGTATTAAGAGAGGAGTCACGTTCCTATAAAAAAAAAACAGATGATAATAATTCTGATTGGTACTGCCACCTCTGTGCAAAGGAAACAAGTATCCCCATAGCAGCCTACCGTAATCCAACTCTTCAAACTGTGATGGTGGTGGTTGAGGGCCATCGAGTCAGTGTCGACTCATGGAGACCCTATTGATAGTTCCTAGGTCACTATCCATAGAGGTTTCATGGCAAGACATGGAAGTAGTTCGCCAGGCCTTTCTTCTGCGCAGATAGTGCAAGTGTTGTTGCCATTGTCACGGAAACATGATCCTCCGCCGCCAACACCACCCCAAACTCCTGCTGCCCAGTATGGGTTTCAAACTGTGGTCAGCCTTGGTATATTCAGTGGACCAGTAGGTGGATCTTTTCCCACTGGGCAAGAATGTCAAAACTTCCAAAGTTCGGGCCTTTTTGCTCGACACTTTTAGAAAGAGTCAAGGGGTTACCCCCAGTGTGTATATTTCTCCATACAACCTGATCGGTACTCAGCTCCACATTATCACCTCTGCAGGAGATATAAAGTCAATAAAGCTGTGCATAATCCCTCTTCTAACCTGTATTTCAAATAGAATAACCTCGGTATCAGCCTCTGCCATAACATCAAGCCTGATCATTCTTACCTCTTCTTTCCTATTATCACCCCCCCTCCTCAGATCTGTAGAATACAGAACCAGGAATCTCAGTCCATCTTAAACATACAACACGCCCTCATCACATCCGTACAGCACTGAATGGAAAAATGACAGACGCCCGTCACTTTCCAATCAATAAGTCAGGAGTCAGATCCGTCGCAGCAGACAGCAAAAACAGGACCAAGCTAGTGTTTGAGCAACTGTGAGTGGAAGTTGTAGGGGGTGCTGGGAAGTGTGTTTAAGCTTGAGAACAGGAAATGTTTCTTTACACAAAGGGTGTTGGGTGTCTGGAACAAACAACCCAGCCATGTTGTTGTTGTAGCAGATGACCCTGGTTCCTTTCACGTAACTGGATGAGACCCTGGGATCAGCTCACTATGAAGTACCAGCCGGGCCAGTTGGGCTGAATGGCCTCCTCTTTGTTTGTAGCCGTTCTTCTGCTCTTGGTATGTTGTTGCCAGGCTGAAGCACAGAGCCCAGTGGAAGGGAGGTCAGTCGCCATCTTGGCTTGTCCTCTCTGTAATGTGCGCTGGCCGCTGCCAGGAATTTCCCAGAGACGAAGGGAAGAAAATGTGCTTCATTTATTGGAAAAGTGCAGCTAGAGGGAATGACTAAAAGGAGCTGTGCACCAGCGCAGATCATACCCGGAAGATTTCAGGACAGAGCAAAGTCTGCTGCTCCAGTGTTTCTGGAGAGGAAAGGAAAAGCTGCTGAGTTGCCAGGGCACACTACAGACAGCTAAGGGTTAATCTCCAACACTAAACCTGGCTAATTCTGCTTAAATACTTTATGAAAGGAAAATTACAGAATGGTTGCAAAACCAACTCACTCGAGATTGCACTCAGATCATGCCTGAGCTGTATTCTAGTACTTGGGCACACATTGTACAGGGTTTTTTTTTTAATCTGAGAGTGTACTTCTGCTTATGACCCTGAATCTGGTATTACTAAATCCTCATGAATCAGGGTGGCAGTGACATTGCCCAAGAGTGTATTTTTTTATTTTGCAGCACTTAAGAGTGGGATTATTGCGCCAGACAGACCGTGGTAGGCATAGAACAGTTTGTAAAAGCTTTGGTTGATTCTTTAAACAGACATTAAAATATTTTGGGCAGCATGGTGGTGCTGTGGTCAGCATGGCTGTCTTGCAGCACTGGGGCCCAGGGTTTGAATCTGGAGCTGGCCTGCTATCTGTGTGGAGTTTGTATGTTCTCCCCATGTTTGTGTGGGTGTCCTCTGAGTTCTCCATTTTCCTCCTACAGCCCAAAGACCCAAAAACATACTGGTAGGTCATTTGACTTCTGAGAAAATCGACCCTTGCTTGAGTGTGTGTGTTTCTGTGTGCGCCCTGCAATGGACTGGCATCTCGCCCAGACTGTACCCTCCCTTGTACCCGTTGCCTGCTGGTATAGTCTCCAGCTGCCTCGCAAACCCTGAACTGGTGAAGCAGTCAGAAAATAGATGGATGGATGAAAAGGTTTGCAGAATGAATCAGCTTCCATCACTAACATCACACAGATACACAAAATACAACAGGTTGAGCAAAGCAGTCCTGTTTGCCAAAGGAAAGCATCACTGCAGAAGACGAACTGGTTGCTCAGCTAAAGGAGAGAAGAAGGATGTTGTGGTAGGGCCTCACTGAAAATGTGAGAATGTGGGTGTGGCACACAACATCCTTAAGGCATGGACACCAGCCCCCGAGAAACGCCCTTGCTCTGCCCTGACTCCACTGACATGCGCACTTGTCGAAAACAATAGGGCATCACATAGGCAAAGCAAGGTTTGAATAAGGCGAACAATGGCAGAACAAGATGAGGGAATTCAGCTCTTTCTGGGTGTATTTCACTACATCTGAATTAACAAAAGAAGCAGGCACTCTTAAAGAGGATGTATGATCAATCTGTAACATTCCAGGTACTTAATGTACCCCACTTTAAACCTGTATCCCTACTATCTTCTCTTTGCCAGCTCTATGAGAGCCTCAGCTTCAGCTGTTTGTCACCATCCAGGAGCTCAGATCCACACCCGCTCATTTCTGTTATTGCCAAGCACTTTGTTCCACACTAGAACTCTTAATTGACTAAATAATAGCATTAATTGGAACTGTTTTACTGTTTTCAGAGGTCACCTTTTAACTCCTGCAAAATTCAACTCCAAACTCCTTCCTGGAAAAGAAAGTTTGCAAACGTCCCAATAAAGCGACATGTTGGTTCAACGAAGGCGCCAATTAGGTAGTGACGCTCAGCTAGACTGAAGACCAGCAGGTGTGTTTGTGGCCTTCCAGGACCAGGGTCCGCACCCCCCTGCTCTAAATTTTAAAAGTCACAAGTCACAAGGGCTTCTGTTCTTCCTGACACCAGAGGAGCAGCATCAAGCACAGCAGCTGACTCTGCCTGTTAAATGGGGTTTGTTCTTCAGTGGAATGATGTGAATTGGCCACACGGCGCATTTCAGCTCAGGCAAGTCGCCTGAGGACACTCTACGTAGTTTATCAGGTGTATTCCTCATTGAAAACAGACCTACAGAATGCCATCTTCTAATTACAAACATACTTCAAATGGTGCTGTTAAAACCAGCGGGTATTCTGATCAGCAGGTAAGAATGTTTTTAGGTGGGTAGCTGCATCAGCATGCATAGGCTGCAAAGGAACAAGTAACAGGTTAACTCCATGCTGAAAAGAGGAGAGAGAAAACACAACATTTTGGCTGTGAAGCTCACTTCAGGTGTGGCCAGGGGTTTAGAATTGTTTTATACTCGCATGGTTTATGTGACCCTTTTAATCAGGGAAGCCCAGCTCTGCAGCAGCTGCTGTCCAGCGGGGTTGATAGGCCTCTTTAAATCTCTAGCTACTTAAGAACAAGGAAAGGCTTTAATGTGTCCAATTAGGCAAATAACAAGTTCACTAACAATGTAATTAAGGGCTTTGTGTGGAAGCAACACCAGAAACCTTTAGCCCCCTCCCTCTTTCTGAAGGAATGTTGTACAAAGACCTCAGTCGATACAATCTCCACTAGAGAAGATGATCTGCGATCTAATGCAGATATTCAAAGTCCTGAAAAGTATCAACAAGGGCCCTGCCTATCATTTTACTTCCTCTTTCACCAGTGGCATCTAGGCTACAGACAATTGCATACCGTACTTTGACAGAATACCTTAGATTGAATCAGGTAGTATAATGAGGTTAGTCAGAGGTTAGAATGATGTAACACTGCTCTGTTTTGGTCAGTGGCCTCCAGTATTCCATGATTCCTGGTTAAGTGAAGCACAGAGGTTCTGTCTTCAATGTCAAATTGGAAATGGGATTATTGACCTCTGAGTTGATTGCCGCTAAATGTGTTGCCTCGCTCTTCTGAAGACAAAATACATAAGCAGTGTTGCTTTTTTCA